TTTTTTTTTTTTTTTTTTTTTTTAGATTATTTTTTAAAGAAAGTAAATATGTAAAATAGTGGACTTAAAAACCGTCCAATATAACATAATATGTTCATTTTGTCAAATTATTACATTAATTATTTAAAATAAAAATTAAAAAAAAACTTTAAATTAATAATAATTCATAGGTTCGAACCAATTGGACTGAGATTTTAAAAACGACATAGGGTGACATCAATTATAGAATTGACGCGACTCAATTTTACTTGATGGGTTAATATTTTAGATCATTATGAATACCTTTATTTGATTAATGGGTTGTTTGCTCGAGTCGTCAACAAAAAAAAAAAAAATTAATAGCTTTACTACTATAACATCTTAAGAGCTAGGTTGGATGTTTCTTGTTGCTCGAGATGTTTTGTATCATTGTTTTTTAAGTAATCATGTATTACATAAAAACGGTGATAATTATTCCTAAATAAGTACTGAAAAATAGAGTAAAATTAGAAAATGAACTCCAAAAGAAAAATTCCCGAGATAACAATCAAAGACTAATCATGTAAATTCAACGACCGAAAGGGTACCGTAACTGGGTCAGATTTATTTCATAACTCCATCACACACGTGTATAACAACATGTAGTTGTGAATAAAAAGACATAAAATTGGACAAGACATGAAACAAAAAGACATGAAGAGAGTGTAATTATTATTGATTGATGATGTTTGAGATTAAACCCTTTTGAATGATCAATCAGCTGAAATGGAAAGCTTCATGCCCATTTGGCAGTGCCCTGGGAGGCTGCAGATCAAGTAGTTCATCCCTTTCAAAAGCTTGATTTCATCCTTTCCTGAACGATGAACTGTGGCTCTTATGGGGTTAATCAAGCACCAATTGTAGCCCACTTTGTCCACCACCACCACATTGTGCACTGATGGTGTGTAGTTGAATGCTGCATTAAACATGCAACATAATACGTTAATAATATTCTCGAGATTGATAAGACATATATCATAAACTAAGAAGTCAGACGTTCAAATCTTTCACCTACTGTTACTTGTTAGGAATCACGACTCTCCACAATAGTACGATATTGTTTACTTTGAGCATAAGCTCTCGTGACTATGCTTTGGGCTTCCCCAAAACGCCTCAATGGAGATAGTATTCCTCACTTATAAATCCATAACCCATATGGGACCCACTCTCAGTAATCCTCAGCTACTAATGTAGTGTTTGTTATTAGAGATGTCGATTTAACCTAATTTTATGAGAACCCGCCTCGAACAGGGTAGGGGAGGAAAAAAATTCACGTGGGAACTCTATTCCCGTGAATCTCCTCACCCCCACGTCGCGGATATCATCCAAAACCATGCAAGATTCAAAAAAATTCATGAAGAACAAGAGTAATACCAAGAACATCGCCAGCTTGGAAGGTCTTTCCATTTGGCCAAGAGGAGACATTAAAGGTCCATCCAAGGTCATCTCCGACCGTGTGAATGGCGGCGCTGCCCACCTCTGGTTGCTGCAGCAACAACAACACCACCAAGCACAACATCACTGTGGCCACACCTCTAATTCCCTCACCCATTAATCCCTTTCAACACAGACACAAAGAGCTCGATGAGTTCGATGAGTTCGAGAATAATAAGGTTGTCTTTTTATAGCTCAATAGTTTGAACAATGTTGGGACAAAAAAGGCTTCAAATTTGGTAAATTTACACTCAAATGACATTCCTTTCACACCTTTTGTTGTTGTTTTTTACTCATAATTAACAAATTAAGAGTTGGTGATTTTGACAATATGATCCATTTGATTTGAATTTAGTTACATGAATGTTCTAAAATGAAATTGACTCAACAACCCACCATTCATATATACAATTTTTTCAATAACTAACCACCAAAATCTGCCAAACCCACAATCTCCTTATTGTTGGTCTGATAAGTATGAATCAGAGTTCTAATATTTTTTATAATAGTTTGGAATCTATTTCATATATTCTGTGCTCCAGATACTAACCTAGACTGAATATCCAAGGAGATAAAATCATCTTGATCAAGATGACCGACTTCTTCTCTGTCGTATCCATAGGATCAATTCTAACAAGTCACACACTCATATTCCGGAAATACAGAAAACAAGTCACACACTCAATTCTAACAAGTCACACACCCGAGATTAGATTTAGCCTTTTTTTATTCTAACGAGTATTATAAGTCGTTGACGTCTAAGTCAAAAAGGGTTATAATATATAAATGAACGAAGTAGAGTGATTATGAGAATATAAAACTATGATTCAAAAAAGCTTAAAAAAATTGATAGTTACCTCGTTCATGTTTCTTTGTTATGGTTCAAGCATAAGAACTCTGAAGGTAACCGTACTTAGCTTGAAGTCGGTCTAAATTTTTTTATGATGAGTGAGGACAAAACGTGGTAAAAAACATATTTATTGGTTTTTTGAGGTTATGACCCAGCTCTCGTTATGTGTGTCTTTGATACCATTGACAACATCGTTACATCTAATCTTGTGTTGATACACGCTCTTCTTAATGTGTTGGATGATGAACGATGTTGAGATATTTCTTTACCGAAAGTTGGAGGCGAAAAAGAAAGATTAAAAAGAGAGAAAAGGGGCTGAGTGTGGAGTAATTTGTAATGATATGGGTGATGACCCTTTTACAAGTGGGGAGTTGGGGTGATGATGTAATGGACCATTAATGCCACAAACTTACTTTTGTTATAAAATTACGCGTTGTAATTATGATCGAGATCGATTTTTGAACGTGGGTTTGTTCGGTTTTCACTCTTTCGTTAACCCGAGTCTTCAAGGCAAATACATTACAGTGACCTCGAGCAAAAAAAAAATTCAATCATAAGTTATGTTATAGTAATGGATTGTGAGATCCCGCATCGATTGGAAATAGTAACGAACCTACAGGACTCTGGGCCGAAAAGAGGTAGATCCTGAGATCCCAAATCAGTTGTGGAGGAGAACGAAACATTCCTTATAAGGGTGTAGAAACCTGTATTTAGCATACACGTTTTTAAAACTTTGAAGAAAACTTGTAAGAAAAAGTTCAAACAAGACAATATGTCTGTTAGCCGTGGATTTAGACTGTTACACAGAGAGAGAACGAAGATCGAACCAACTAGATGTAATATTAAATTTCATTAACGGTAGATTTGAGCTATTACAGGGTGAAAGATCGAAGATCGAACCATTACGTAAATTTATTCGAACACGAGATTAAGCAAAACATTCTCACACTCGTTGTTTAAACGATTATTCAAGCAGCATTAATGGCGATCTTCATTCCACTTTGGCAGTGGCCTGGGAGACTGCAAATGAAGTAGTTTTGTCCCTTCACAAGCTTGATCTGATCCGTTCCTGTTCCAAAAACTTTGGAGCCCGTTGGAGCCACGCACCCACTGTAGCCCACTCTGCTCACAGCCACCACATTGTGTGCCGCAGGGCTGTAGTTGAACACTGCACAACACATAGCCTTAGAGAACGAGTACGTGTCAATTATTGGGGAGCTAAGCTAAGCGGGCTTACCAAGGGTATCTCCAGCACGAAAGCGCTTCCCCTTGGGCCAGGACGCGACATTAAAGGTCCAGCCTTGAGCACCGCCGACGGTGTAAACAGCTGCATGAGCCATCGCTGAGAATTGGAGCACCAACAAGCACACCATCACTGCACCCATCGCTGCACTGCCTCTTCCCTGAGCCATTGGTTCATAATTTCTAGGCTAAAGGGCTCGAATAGAGGTGGTGGTGGTGGAAATGGATGAGAAGGGGAGGCTTTTATAAATGGGGAGTTGGGGTTAACTTTATATTATAAAATCATGATGAAGACGGGAAAAAAATGAATGTGGGTTTGGTACGTTTTCATTTCCATATTGATTTTTAACCACTTAGGTCCCGTCTCATTATTTCGCGTAACAAACATGGAATCTCACAATCTACCCGTTTTAGAAGCCAGCAACTTGCTCACATACTGCTAGTTGTTTGTCTCTAATATTATTTGAAATAGCTCGAGCTCACTGTTAATAGATATTGTCTATTTTGACCCGTAATATATTGTCGTGAGACTCACACATTAGTTTCAACAAATAAATAAATAAATATCTAATTATATAAATAAATATTACATAAATGAATAACAAAATAATGAAATTAGTTTTTTCTATTTTATAAAACTAAATTATGTTATATTTTATAACTAATTTTATCTATATATATATTATAGATTTTTATATTATAAAATAAATATATAATTTTATTTTTAATTGCTTTCTTAAAAATAATAATTTTAGACCAAGTATAATTTTTTTAAAAATTTAAATAAAAGAAATATTGACCAATAAAAAAATAAATAAAACTTAAGATATTTTAACTACAAGATTTTATTTTATGTATATTTTTTTATTTAAATATCGATCTATTTTATCGATTTTGTTAATTCATTACAACCAGATTATTTTCGTTTTTCTCTCGCTACATTCAATGGATCCTAAGTTCTTGACTTACAATGGCGTCGTGCTTCGAAGATCTGATGTACGCAGTTTAGAAGATTGTAACTATTTGAACGATGCCATCATTGATTTCTATTTTGCCTACCTGTTCGAGTCATATCAATCTGACGACATATTGTTAATATCGACGAGTATCTCTTTTTTGCTGGGCAACGCTTCTGACTGGGATACTTTCGTAGCTACAGTGGAATCTTTGAACTTTCATGAGAAGAAACTCATCTTCTTCACTGTCAACGACAACTCCAATTTCTCCTCTTCTGGCGGGTCTCATTGGAGCTTACTTGTGTACTGCAGAAAGCGAAATTTATTCATGCATTACGATAGCCTTCACATGATGAATAATGAATCTGCATTCGCCATCTACGAATCTGTCAATAGTTATATTAGTTATGATTCAGCTGAGTTCATGGAATGTCGAGCGCCTCGACAAAGGAACGAATATGATTGTGGATTGTACGTGATGGAAATTGCTAGAGTGATTTACGAGCACTATTTCAACTTTGATCAGTTTCAAAACGAAGATGAAATTTGTGGGTCGTTTAACGTGGTCCAAAGTGTGAATTGTAAACATGTTGAGTCCAATATGCGGTCTGAATCAATAAACATATATTTTTTTCAGTAGTTTTTTTTTTATTATCTGCCTCTTATTTTAGGATTGAATCAATAAACAGATCATTTTTTAAGTAATTTTGTTTATTATCTGCATTAATAAAGTCTTCACAAGATGAATAATGTCAACAATTATATCAGTTATGATTCAGCTGAGTTCATGGAATGCCGAGTGCCTGGACAAAGGAACGAATATGATCGTGGATTATTTAAATTTGATCATTTTCAAAACAAAGATGAAATTTGTGGGTCGTTTAAAGTGGTCCAAAGTGTGAACTGTAAACATGTCGAGTCGAATATAGTGTCTGAAATGTTGTAACTTATTTTAGGATTGAATCAATAAACAGATCTTTTTTGTTCGAGGGCTAAAAATATATAAAAAATGGCTAAAAATATAATTCAAAACCTATAATTATTGTTAGAATATACCAAAAATATCCCAATTTAAAATATATAAAATTTGTTAGAAATATAATGATGTACCATTTGCAAATATAATTCAAAATTTTTATAATTTTAAATACTATAATTATTAATATAACAATACAAAAAATATAGATATAATTTTAATATGAAGCAAATAATGCAAATTCATCAAAGATTTTGTTCAAGAACATCATGTCACAAGATAATCTCGATTATAATCTTCTAAAACTATTTTTTTTTTTTTCAAAAATCTTAGATTATAATTTTATCTCATCTCAAACGATTAACAATCTAATTAATTTCTAATTGATTTATGAACAGATGAACAGAGCATAAATATCAATCTTGCATCGTTGAAGCGTCGTTTTTAGGGGCAATTCTAAAAAGAATCTCCGGAACGTAGCGGTGATTGACAAATTCTTAACAGGGTTTCTCTGGTTTGCCGCTATTTTTCACAATCAACCTCGAAATTGAAGTTTGTTATTTTCTCCCTTTTGACTTATTATCATAAACCCTTGATTGTTCATCTTTAATTCTGTCAATTTTTTTTCTCAAAACTACGGGATTCTCTTATGTTCTTCGTGTAGATGGCTTCGACCCTTTTGAGTAAAACCCTTTTGGTTAATCGATTCATTCATTCTTTCTCCTCTCTGTCTGGAAACACCCAGATTTTTACTTCCGTTTTCAGTGTAAGTCGAGTTGTTTGTTTATTTTGAATTTTTTCTATTTGGGGTTTTGAATTTGCTCTTATTGTTATTGTTCTTGTACTGTAGAAGAAATTGTTTCAGTTTCAAGCTAACTCAACCAATGTAGCATATAATCCCACTCGGCGATTCTCTTCTTTCATGGCTTCCTCTGTATCCACGCATAGAGCTCAGTTTTCATCGAAATCCTTCACCACTGATGATCCTGTTGTTTCCCCTGATTGGCTCCATTCTAATCTAAAACAGCCTGACTTGAAGGTCCGCTCGTGTTGGTTTTAACTTCAATTATGCTAATTGATGCTAATTGTGGTGCACTAGTTTTGATTTAATTCTTTTCTTTCCTTGATTTTTTTCCAGTTTTGCACATTCCGTTTGTATAGTTTAATATGTATGTTAATCGAGTATTTAAAGTATTTGACATCATTAGAAATATGGGTACGGGAATTTGAACTTCGAACCTCGAGGGAAGAACTACATGTTGATTATTGTTGAGCTATGCTTACTTTAACAGTTTACCTCGACTATTCGCCGTTTTCGTTGTTTATATGCGCTTAAAACCTGCAATATCTATGCTTCTGTCTGTTCCCAATACTTAGAAGTTTTCAGAATTGGGTTTGCTTGTTTATGTCTTTCTAAGAATGTTCTTGTTCATTGCTTATTAATATGATCTTGATCTTGATTAGACAAATGGCGAGTTGTAAGTCTGGTAGCTTTGTGTTTTGTATTTCTGAAACTGTTCTATCCTTTAAACTGCTCGATTTTCAGGTTTTAGATGCATCTTGGTACATGCCAGATGAACAGAGGAATCCTATTCAGGAATACCAGGTAGTCAACTTGGTTAATGTTTTGTGAACTACATTTTATATTATGTGGTGAAGTTTCAGTAATTTGTGTGGTTATGATTGTTACAGGTGGCTCACATCCCTGGTGCTCTTTTCTTCGATGTAGATGGAGTATCTGATCGAACTTCAAAGGTGAAACGATCTCCTTTCGTTTTTTTCCCTTCAATATATCGTCGTTATATTTCGTCTACTTGTTTCAGTTGCCACATATGTTGCCATCAGAGGAAGCTTTTGCTGCTGTGGTCTCTGCTCTTGGCATTGACAACAAAGATGGTGTGGTTGTTTATGATGGCAAAGGACTTTTTAGTGCGGCTCGTGTCTGGTGGTAAGATGCAGAAATAAACAATTAACTTTGAAGAGATTATGTGTAACGGCCCAGGCCCACCGTGCGGTGTGCCAGCGAGAACGTTGGGCTCCTGGAGGGGGTGGATTGTGAGATCCCACATTGGTTGGAGAGGGGAGCGAAACATTCCTTATAACGATGTGGAAACCTCTTCCTAGTAAACGCGTTTTAAAACCTTAAGGGGAAGCTCAAAGAGGACAATATCTGCTAGCGGTGGGCTGTTTATGATATTACGTTTATGATATTGTATGTGAAGTGAAGAAATAAATTTTGGTAATTGAAAATAGGATGTTCAGAGTATTTGGGCACGACAGAATTTGGGTGCTAGATGGAGGATTGCCGAAATGGCGTACGTTAGGATATGATGTTGAATCCAGTGCATCTGGTGATGCTATTTTGAAAGCTACCGCTGCAAGTGAGGCAATAGAGAGAATTTATCAGGGGCTAGCTGTAAGTTCATAATTTCACATGTTTTGTCTTATATTATATCTCTGAATCTTCGAGTTACTAGCCAAAATGGCGTGCATTTTATTCTCGTTTTCAATTTTTTCTGGTATTGTTATTTTTCCACTTGTAACATCATTGTGCATAGGTTTCACGGTGCTCGGTTTGTTTTCTCAGGTCGGGCCAATTACATTTCAGACCAAGTTTCAGCCACATCTGGTCTGGGACCTCGAGAAGGTCAGGGTATTCATTACAAAGCTGTTAGTGTATTAGTGTTTAAGGATTCTTAATCATTGAAATTCGAGTAGATATATGAACTCGTCGTTCATAGTGAATGTTAGGGGCATATATTAAGACTCTTTTGACAAAGTGATTATTGGTATCTGTTTGGCCCTCGAAAGGTACTCGATTTTAAAATTATCATAGCGTTCGACTTCCAGCTGGGCAAGTTTTTAAGGATTTTGAGTGCTAGTATGCATATAAATAGTCGAATGTGGTGCGAGTGTGTGCAAATAATCAATATAACTGTGTCGTAGAGGAATTTTAGATGGGAACGAGCCTTTATATGTTATTTTCTCGATTACGTGTTCCAGATTCAAGAGAATATTGCAGGAAGAACTCACCAACACATAGATGCTCGTTCGAAGGCCAGGTACTGTAGATTTGGTAAAATATTTGCTTTTGAATTAGGAATATTTCTTAAGTTGTTTTCATTTTTTTGCAGATTTGATGGGGCTGTCCCAGAACCTCGGAAAGGAATCAGAAGTGGCCATGTTCCTGGCAGCAAGTGTATTCCTTTTGCCCAGGTTTGTATCAATATTAGTTCATTATGTTTGTGGTTCGTAGTTAGAATTTGAAACACTTCTCACATCGAACCGACTCTTTTTTACTGGAGTTCAGATTTGGTTGTTCATATCGAAAATTTCAACCTGGTCCAAGTGTTACATAGTATTAGTGGCACACTACCCGTCATTGGTCTGTTTGAATTCTGATTTTTTCGAGATCGTATATTCATAAGCTTCTATTTCTTATGACCGACAAAATGTGATTCTGTGAAGTATCTAGCTGGAAAGGAAATAGACGTGTTTTTAAGGGTATAGCGGGTACTACCATTAGGACCGTTCGCGTGATTATCATTTATTTAAGGGTATAGCGGGTACGTACTAGCAAAGACAAAAATGTAATGGCACCAAAACACTTGACGTTTTCAGATGCTGGATAGTTCGCAGTCACTTTTACCCGCAGATCAGCTCAAGAAACGATTCGATCAAGAAGGTAAGAAACGATGAATGAAAAGGCGTTCTTCATGGGTATCGGGGTCCCAAAACTGTTTAATATAAGTGGATCCATGTTTGTGCAGGCATCTCTTTGGATAGCCCTGTTGTAACTTCTTGTGGCACTGGTGTTACTGCCTGCATTCTTGCATTGGTAAGTCCCTTGGTACTCACAATCTAAATGTTTGAAGGATTTAAGAGGCTGAAAGTAGTGAAAACTTGTGAATTTCAGGGCCTCCATCGGCTTGGGAAACAGGATGTTGCAGTTTATGATGGATCTTGGAGTGAGTGGGGAGCTCATTCCGACACACCTGCTGACACTGCTGCTTCATAAATGGTGCAGCATCCCTTCCTTCTCTTTACAAGCATTCTCCTTGTAAATGTTTAGTAGAGTTTATGTCTTTTTGAAAAGAAAGTTACCTGAGAAGAACTTCATTTACATTGGTGCTCTCTCCTCTGAACTTGACTAGTGGAAATAAATTCATGTTCTATTGGTTTTTTCTAATGGAAATAGCACTTGTACAACCTTATCGGTCCTTATCACTGATGTAGGTCGAAGAAAACCTCGTACCATTATAATAATTCCATTTGTCAGTTCTCGAGTTGTCGACTCCAGTCTAGACTTTTCCATCTAAGAATGTTTTTGGAAAGCCTTCGGTGTCCTTTGCTTATTTCTTTGACTTGTAAAGGAGGTTAAAAGTGAGCTAGACTATGGTCCGAGTCGAAGGAGAGGATAAAAAGGTTAAGAGGAAGATAACGGATAAATGAAAGGGAGCTGGGAGTATGAAAGAATTACATAGCAAAAATTCGAACTTTGACTACATGTCATGCCCTAATGCCCTAAACAGCCATTGACAAGTGAGACTTGAAATTTTAGCAACAAATTGAGGGCATTTTCGACAAACGTACAACCCTTCAAATAAATTGTATAAATACCGCAACAATTATCTCTTCCAGCTTTTGCTTGATTTCGAACCCTA